CTGCCAAACTATCTACTTTGAGCAAACCTCTGAGATTATCCTCTTGTCTTTCTGTGCCAGCCCGGGGTACAAATGAAAGTGTATTAAGGTACTAGACTAGACTTTTTTTTTTTTTTAAGATTTTATTTATTTATTTGAGAGAGCACATGAGAGGGGGGAGGGTCAGGGGGAGAAGCAGACTCCCCACCGAGCAGGGAGCCCGATGCGGGACTCGATCCCGGGACTCCAGGATCATGACCTGAGCCGAAGGCAGTCGCTTAACCAACTGAGCCACCCAGGCGCCCTAGACTAGACTTTTAAGGCCACACTAGTTCCTCTCCTTTCTTGCCAGTCTTGCCTCACCATCTCTTTCCTATTTCTACACTCCAGGAATGCCATATATCTAGCAGGCCTCAGCCATATACTATTATAGTCATGCTTCCTTTCTGTTACTTCTTCCATTTTTTCCCCCTCTCCTATTTGTGTGAAACTGTCTACGTCTTTTTCCTGTACGAATTCTCTCACGAAGTCACTTCTGGTTGCAGCCTCCACCCTGTGCCGTGGTTAGTCCTATTTCCAACCAAAGTGGTTTGAAATCCTCCTTGCTCATTACCTCAACCTTCTCTCAAGGTAGGTATTCCTTTCCCTCAGGTAAATCCTACTCCTTATTAAAGAAATCCATCTGGACCATTAAAAATACCAAACCACTCAAATACTGTTGGTGTGCTCAATAGTTGCAAACTTAATGAGTTTTTTATCCCACCACAGGAGCCATTTATTAATGAACCATAGCTATCTTACCTGGTACCGAATGGCCAAAGCTTTAAGAAGTATGGCCTTCCAGGGATGTCTGAGTGGCTCAGTCAGTTAAGCGACACTCTTGATTTCAGCTCTCAGCATCTCAGGGTTGTGACATCGAGCCCGGGGTCAGGCTCTGCGCTGGGCGTGGAGCCTGCTTGGGATTCTCTCTTCCTCTCCCTCTGTGCCCCACCCTCCCTCTCTTAAAAAAAAAAAAGAAAAAGAAAAAAAGGCCTTCCAGTAAATGTTATATATCAGTTAAATTGGTGGAGAAGGCTGGGACAAACAAGTCTCGAAGAGGAAGGTGTCACTAATAATCATGTAACAGAGACAAATAATTTAGGCATCTTTCCTAATTACTGCAAGGCTCTCCCTCAGAATATCTGACTCATCTTTCATTCAGAAATTAGAAACCATTTGTATTTTATACTAAGCAAGAAATATAAAGAAACAGAAAAATTCTCTTGCCTCAAAGAGTGTGTAGACTTTCATAGGATATTATCTGGGCAAATAACTAAAAAAGTAAAAAAAAAAAATTTTTTTTTTTTAAATTATTAGGGTATATGGTGTCTGATTTATAAGCGAACTGAGAAAGGATTTAAAATGGAAGGTACACTACCTCCGGAAGGAGGTAGCATTTAGGCTGGGCCTTGAAGGACATGCAGAATTTTAGCTAGTGGAGATCTGGCCAAGGGTGAGATATGTGGTGGGAAGAAAGTGGGACTGTCATGGTGCCTTGAGTGATAAGCAAGGTCGAGAAATCAGGAGAAGCAGAAAACAGGAAAGTGTGTTTGCCAAAAATTACAAATTCCAACTCACTGAAGTATGGCTAGTAAAGTTTTAAAAAATATGCAGAGTGGAGCAAATGACAAACTATGTAAGGTGAGTAAATGTAAGTCAGGACTACAAAAAAAGGATGTGATTCAAAAGTTAAAGATGCTAGAAACCAGATTAGACCTTTGTCTAGCCATATGAAGAATGAATCACTGATAGCAATGACTAATCACTATATGCATGTAAAATATAGATGGAGCAAACTCCAGCAGAAATTTCCATCAACACCGGGATACAGGGGTGCTAATCCCTACCATTTACTGAACACCTAGTAGGTGACAGGAGCTGTCCTTTATACAGATTGTTACATTTAGTCCGCACAATACTCCAACTAATAGGCTTTATTAACTCCATTATACATCAGGAAATGGGCTCAGGAAAGTTCTACAGCATGAATTAGTTTACACTCCTACTGGACAGTAAAACCAAAATCTGATACCAGCTTTTCCCATCTTGAGACCATGCTCTTCCCCCCATGCCAATCTAGCCTGATTTATAAGTTAAGAGAAATGAAGTGGATTCAAGGATACCTCCATAGTAATGTCACCCTCATTGGTTGCAAATATGCTTTCATCAGTGATCTAGGGCTGGAGATACAGCCAGCACTCCAGGGACTGAGTATAAAATCTTGAGAGTGTATCGCAGCCTACGAGACCATCACTGTCATGTTGATGAGAACAGCTGATGAAAAAAAGTAAAATGTCGGGGCGCCTGGGTGGCTCACTCGTTAAGCATCTGCCTTCGGCTCAGGTCACGGTCCCAGGGTCCTGGGATCGAGCCCTGCATCGGGCTCCCTGCTCAGAGGGAAACCTGCTTCCCCCTCTCACGCTCCCCCTGCTTGTGTTCCCTCTCTCTCTGTCAAATAAATAAATAAAATCTTAAAAAAAAAAAAAAGTAAAATGTCCATTAGGTTAAGTTCTTAATCTGTCATTTAATAGAGATCAGTGGCAAGAACACGGGTTTAGGAAAGAGATGGCCCCAATTCCAAATGTGAATTCAGCTATATACTATTTACATGGAAAACCTTGGATAGTGATTACTTCTTCAATCTCAGCTTCTTCATAGAGTCATTACAGCAAGTTAACGATAAATCTTTGTAGAAAAAAGATAGGCAGCTCTGGATAACAGAAAAGTACATCATTAAGGCTAAAGAGGTTTGGCCTCATTCAGGCATTAAGTTAGCTGTCTTGTCTTGGGCAAGTCACAGACTGACCATCTTTCTTCTGTAAAAAGTAGATGGCACCATCTACTTTAAACATTTGTTGTACATATCTGAGTATAATGTATGTTAGGTACCTACAGTACTAGACTATATTATAGCAATGGACCCACCACATTAAATCATTAACACAATGCTTGGCAAAATACGTGTAACTTTCCACCCCAACTGTTTTTACACTTGGGCTCTATTATAATGTTATTGGTGACTATAACTTAAAAATACTACAGACTATTGGAAAATCGTAACAGCAATTTGGTAAAAATTAGACACCTTAGGCGTTTTAAAAATTGCTAACTTTGTATTGTACTTAAAAGTTAAAATTTACATAAGTGGAAAATTATTCATTCTTTTATACTCCCTCATACATTTTTTTCACTAAAAGTATTCTCTTCTAAAAGCATTCCATTAGACAAAGTGCTTCGTCAATCTGAGAAATAAAAGATTAGTACCATTAACAGAGACTTTGATAACTGTATTACTAAGAAAATTGTTAAACATGCTTGCTATCTCTGATAGCATTGTTGAAGTGGTAGGACCCATCTGTGGTCAATCCATTATGTGAACCATGAAAAATATCCATCCTTGCAAAGCTGGTCCCCAACTGCCCCCTCAAAAGCAAACAAACAAACTGACCTCAAGACAGTATTTAAATTAATCACTCCAAAGTAAAGTAAATCAGGGTTACACCCCTGGTATTCCCTAATTAAGCAAGTCAGAAGAAATACAAATATCGAAGATTAGAGTAGTATACATCTAATGGGTCATCTATATCCACACATCCAACACATGGTTTATGAATCGGAGCGAATTTGGGGAAGTTCAATGTACCTTTTGGGTTTACACAAATCTTTAAAAAATAAAGAAAAAAAATGTATACACGTATAAAGCTCCTTGTGCCAAGCAAGAGGGATACCATCAGTTTGCCTCCTTTCCCACCTAGACGACATCTTACTGATTTATCCATGAATAAGCCTCATGGATGCCTTAGGAAACCACTCCATACCTGTCCGGAAATGTGCCTGTTGGTTGAAGCTCCATTTCTTACATTATAAGAAGTATGTGAATAAAATAGGACTGCCATTTCTTTTATCTATTCCTCCCCCGTAAAGCTGCGATAAATAGGGTCACTCAAGCCTCCCTTTGCCCAACGCTAGCACTCCCACAAAATTGGTTCTTATTTTTTACTTTAAGGAGGATGTGGGCTTGCAAGTGTTTTCCTAACGGGTTTGCTGAGTTTCAGATGTTTAAAGAGAATTTGAAACCAGGTGAAGTTTGGTCTTCACACTCTGAAATACCGTCCTGGGATGTGGGCTAGGTGTCTGTGGTTATTCAGAGCTAGGTACCCTGCGAGCTTCTGAAGGAACTGTGATCTGATGTACACCCGCCGGCGTGGGGTGGGGGAGGGAAGAACTGGCCGGGGAGAAAAGAAGGGAATTAGCGTCTACAGAGCACATCCTAAGGTTCCGGAGTTGCTGACTCCATCCCTCGCCACCTCGCTGCTGGCAACCAGCTGGAAAGGGAAAGACCGGCGACCCTGGGTTTGGGTTGAAGGCGGCGGTCCTGGTCGCAACAGCCGGCCTAGACACCTGGCTTCTGGGGCCCGCCCGATCTGGCTAAACCCTCTCTCCCCGCCGGTCCTGCAAAGCGGCAGGCACCGCGCTCTCGTTCCCGTCGGAGCCCATCAGATTCCTCTCTCCCCGAAAGTGCTAACTTCAGGGGCTCGGGGGTACAAGGGGAGAGCAGACCAGAAGGCACAGGCCGTGGGGTCTCGGGGGCGGGGGGTTCAGGTAGGGAAGAAGGACGATCGCCCCGGCGGTGGCCGCCTTTTCTCCTCGTCCTCCACCCCCGATGCCCCCACCCCCCACCAAGTCCGCAGAACCTGCGGCGGCCGCGCGGTGCTCGGCGCCAGGCTGGGGTCCCTGGCCCCGACGCTGGCGCTGGCTCGGAATGGGTGGGGTAGGGGCTGGCGGGTCCCAGAGCCCCAGCAGCGGTGGCTGCAAGGCGCAAACCCCGGGCGGGCGACCACCTTCCGCCCGCCCGAGCGCGCGAGCAGCAGAGACGCGAGCGAGGCGCAGGGCGGGCAGTGGCTCCCGCGCACCTAGCGGACCGAGCCGGGCGGTCCTCGGCGGGCCGCCCCTCTCCATCCCTCGGCGGTCCCCGCCCTTACCTCCGGGCGCGAGGGTGCCGCCGGGGAGGGTGCTGGGGAGCGGCGAGCGGTCTCCCGGGCCGGCTCAGCGGCGGTCGGCGACGGCGGGGTCGGCGGCGGGGCCGCTGCTCATGGCGTGTGGCGCCCGGAGCACTGCGGCCGCGGCCACGGCGGCGCCTTCCTCCTCGTCCTCTTCGCGGGCTCCCGGCCGGGACGCAGCTACCGCCCCAGCCCCGCAGCCCTCCTCCCCTCCGCCTCCCGGGCCGCGGACGGAGCCGCCTCCAGCGCCGCCCCGCGCGCAGCCGGGCCAGCGGCAGCCAGCGCCGCCCAGCGCCCGGCCCCGGGGTCGCCGCCGCCGCCGCCGCCCGCCCGGCGGTCCCAGCCCCGCTGTGACGCAGGCCGCCGTGCCCGGGAACTTCCTCCCCTGCGGAGACCACCGCGCGCCGGGACTGGCCGGCGAGGCTGCCGCTGGCCGGCGGAGGCTTCCCCCTGGCCGTGGAAAACGGACCCTGCCGCGCCTCCCCGCGGGGCCGCTCCCGCCTCCGAGGCGGCCACCTGGCGGCCTCCGCCTGGGGAACGGGCTGCGTCCGATTCCTCCCCACCCTTCACAGGGCGCGGAAAACCGAGCCTTCTCCGCGCTCTGCGGCCACTCCAGTGCCGCAGCTCCTCCCCTGGGTGTTAGAGGGGGGCAGCTACCACTAAAAATAGCCCTTCTGGCAACTCCCCTGCGGGACTGGGGTCAGGATGGAGATCATCCCTCCTCCTCATCTCCCGCCCCGCAGGAGAACAGAAGGACCCCATAAGAACACAAGAATGAGGTGGGGCGGGATGGGGGGCAGGCATTGAGGGAGACGGGGGAGAATGGTTAAAACCAATCTCCCTGGACACCTGAGTCTTCTCTCCAGCAGGAACCCCCATGCTCCCGGACACTGAGAGCTGGGCTCCGTCGTCTCTCCAGCAGCAGGTTCCAGAGACGCGGAAATTGAACGCCCCGCCTGCGATTGTGAACTGCGCTGTCCTCCTCAAAACCACTTGTTGTTAAGAGTATGGGGGGAGGGGTTCTCTCTATTGATTGATCTGAAGCTGTTTTTCTTCTCCACACTCTCCTACCCAATTTCAGGATGAAAAAGCAAACTGTCTTCTTGAAAGCTGACAGCTATTCGTATGGAAAATCTTCTGCCCAGTGAAATGTACAGACAAGATTACTAGGTTATATAAAAATCTCCTAGGATGCCTTCTCAATGTTAGTTATTCTAAGAGTACTGAAAATGAACGTACTACTCTGTCCTGGCAGTCAGGAAAAGGCCGATGTACCTTTCACTAGTTGATTTGTTCTTACAAGCAAGCCTTAAGAAAGCAGGCACCTCCTTTAACCCCATTTGTAGTTCCAAGTCAAACTGAAAAGAAAATTTGTCCAGAAGTTGTTCTCTTTAGCTTTTTAAAAAATTTTTATTTTATTATGTTAGTCACCATACAATACATCATTAGTTTTGATGTAGTGTTCCATGATTCATTGTTTGCATATAACACCCAGTGCTCCATGCTTCTCTTAAGCTTTTAACTGCTTTTCCTGGGCTCGCTGGGCCAAATCCAGTATGCTGTGGAAGTCAACCTTAAACCCTCTTAGGCTGTAGGAGATGACTCTAACACCAGCCTTAATTAACTAGATCAGCACAAAAATCTAGGGTGGGGCCTTTCTCCTAGATAGCAGGTGAAAAACTTCCTGGAGAGTTCGTGGGGAAAGGGAGAGGTTGGCTTCAGCAATTTGCTAAAATTGTGAGCACCTTGCAAGCTACCAGATCCTATCTGAGGTAGCTCCAGCTCTTAAATACCTTACCTGGATTTAAACACTCAATGAGGAAATACTAAGGGCACAAACCTCCTGTCGGGGGCTTTGTTCTGCAAGTGCTTTCTGAGCATCTCTATCCTCTGTACAATTGTCACCCTGACCTCAAGCTTATGCATCCCTGAAATGCTCCATTACCCAGTGACAAGGTTTGGACTCAGGTGAACCAGGAATAAATCCCTACTCTTCCTGCGTAAATGTAAGGGAGTTACTGCTAATTTTATTTTATTTTTCCATCATCAGCTATATAAGGATAGTACTCTAGGGTGCTGTGCAAATTAGATAACATGCTTAAAGCAGCAAGAACAGTGCCAAGCGCTTTATAAGTACACAATAAACAGTAGCTGTTATGTACTTAATATACTCTTCATAGACCTGAAAGCAAAAGGACCAGGAATGGCAACAAGGTTTGGAAATGGGATATGAACCCTGAAAATTGAGTCTCCTGCCTCCCCCAGATGTTTAACTGCAATGCTTTTGTCTGCACTTGACCTGTTTTTTAAATAGGGTGTATTGGGTAGGGCTACATGTAGTCACCTGATTCACATGCACTCTAAAGTCTGAGAGGCACGAGTCTGAAAACCACTACATTATACAACTTAGTATATTTTTTCTTATTTTAGAGCATGTAAACCCTAAGTCTAGTCACCTCAGTCAACCTAACTTAAATCAACATCCACACTTATCAAGCCCTCAGAAAACCATAAGGTGAATCCACAATCCATCAGCCAATTTCTGTGAGTGCTGGACTCTGAGGGCCTCAAAGAAGTGTAGTAGACCCCCTGATCTGTGGGGAATATGCTCCAATACACCCAGTGGATGGCTGAATTTGCAGATAGTACCAAACCCTATAGAGGCTGTTTTTTCCTGTACATACATACCTGTAATATTTATAAATTAGACACAGTAAGAAATCAACAATAAAATGGAATAATGATAAAATACTGTAATAAAGTTATGTAAATATGGTCTCTCTCTCTCTCAAAATATCATATTGTATTGTATTCCCTCTTCTTCCTTTTGTGATGATGTGAAGCGATAAAATACCTATGGGGCAAGATAAAGTGAGGTGAGTGACGTAGGCATTATGATGTAATGTTAGGCTATTATTAGTCTTCTGACAATTTGTCAGAAGGAGGATCATCTCCTTCTGGACCAGAGTTGACTGTGGGTATCTGAAACCATGGAAAGCAAAACCTCAGATAAGGGCGGGGCGGGGGGGCGCTGCTGTATAAGGCTTATTTCCTGCCCTCAAGGTGTTCACAGAGCTTGAGAGAGGGAATCTGGCAGCCCATGAATCAGAATAAACCATTTCGAACTAAATGTGATTGCATTTCGGAATAAGGAAAGGGCACTATGCCCGAGGTGAACCATGTATACAGAGCCACCATCTTCACCTTTCAATCACCCAATTTTTGAGACCAAAATTTGACATTCTCAATGGGCTTTCAGAGTGAGTTCCCACACCAAGACTCCACATAGTTACAAGTTAACCATGTATTGGTTGGCAATAGGGAGCTGAAGTGGATCTTTCTGGGCAGTGCAGGGCCATGGTAAGGGATTTGGAATGATACAGATCTGGGCTCAAGTCCTCGGTCCACTCCTTACTATCTATGTGACCCTGAGTTTCTTAATTTTTGAACCCCAGTTTCTCCATCTGTCTATTAGAACATCAATACCTACTTTTTTTAAGGTTCTAGTGAGACTTAGAATATCTGCAACCCCTCTAGTGGGTTGTATAGAAGTGGCAATTACATTGTTTCGTTGTTAGTTATAATAAAATGCAGGCTGGGCTATAGCAGTCCTTGAAGGCATATTTCAAAAGTTGCTTTCTCTGTGAACTTCCAGAGGCTCCCGGCGAGTGTAATTCTCCCTTTCCTGTGCTCCCACAGCACTTACCATAATGTGCTGCCATTTATCTCTTTACATTTTTGTTTCACTACTGTGTCTTTTTTCATCTCTATGTCAACACCTAGCACAGAGCCTGGTATTAAACGTTGAAAGAATGAGTTTTTTATTTTTTTTATTTTTATTTTTTTAAAGATTTTATTTATTTATTTGACAGAGAGAGACACAGCGAGAGAGGGAATACAAGCAGGGGGAGTGGGAGAGGGAGAAGCAGGCTCCCTGCAGAGCAGGGAACCCGATGCGGGACTCGATCCCAGGACCCTGGGATCATGATCTGAGCTGAAGGCAGTCGCTTAGCCAACTGAGCCACCCAGGCACCCAAGAATGAGTTTTTTAAAGTGTCAAGTTTTTGTACTATTCTGACTTCCAGTATACAGTAATTTGTATTAAACATCAGGCTCTAGAATGTGAAATCCTTTAGCTCATAGAGTTTATGCTGACATTATGTATTATGTATATGTATCTGCTTAAAGCTTGATTTTTCAATGTTGGGCCTGTTCTTGAAGACCAACCTGCTATGCTTGTTTTGTTTTATATTTGATGTCAGTTGATCCTGCCTAGTAATAGTGAAAGTAAAATCTAAATTCTAAACCAAAACCACCAGCAGGGTTTAACCCAGCATTCTCTACCCACCCTATGCACATCTGCTCCCCCGATCCTTTCTGAGCTTTTGTGGGAAGGTCCTGAGCTAACAGAAAGCATTGTTGTTTTAAGTTTCAACTCTTATAACACTGTTGCAACAATTAGCACTTTCTGAATTAATAGCTGCCAGTTAAAATCCACCTTTAGCAACAGTTTTGAAATCCTTGGTTCTATGCCATTAAAAATGCTAAGACCAGGAGAATAAAACCTCCTCTAGAAAATGTCGTATGAGCAGGAAGTTGCCCAAGAGGTAATGTGGTCAAATGTGGTCTTGACCCTAAAATGGCAGTTGAATTTGTGCCAGAGGAGAGGGTGGTGGTGCTGAGGATTTAAAAATAGGACACTACAAAACTATGGGCCAAATTCTTATAAAATCAGTCTTGTTTATTGACCACCACCACCTCCCAGCCCTCATACATCGCCAACACACACACACACATAAGACTGAAGTGGTTGGTCCCACTAATCTGTGATAGACTTTGGAAATGATAGTAAGAAACACTAGGGGCGCCTGGGTGGCTCAGTCGTTAAGCGGCTGCCTTCAGCTTAGGTCATGATCCCAGAATCCTGGGATCAAGTCCCCCGTCGGGCTCCCTGCTCTGCGGGAAGCCTGCTTCTCCCTCTCCCACTCCCCCTGCTTGTGTTCCTGCTCTCGTTACCCCCCTCCCTCTCTCTGTCAAGTAGATAAATAAAATCTTAAAAAAAAAAAAAAATAAAGAAACACTTACTAGGTACACACTGTGTGCTAGGTACAAGCTTTATATGCATTGTCTGATTTATTTACCCTCGCTATCCAGGCAGTGTTATTTCCTCCTATTGACAGAGGAGAAAACTGAGGCACATTATAAACAAGTCACTAATCAAAGGTCATAT